GGGTGGGGGCGGGGGGAGGCAGGTCATGATGTGAGCCCAACAGTCTTGCCCTGGATCCCCAGCTGCTCATGAGTCCCCATCACTCAATTGGGGCAGTGCCGTTGTTCACATGCCATCAGGCCTCAGAGTAAATATTTTCCTTGTTTTTCACATTTAGGAGAGGCTCTTTGGTCCCAAGCTGCCCTACGTTGTTTTGTTTTTCTCATTCTCTGAGTGATAATATTTGTGTAAAATAAGTGAAATAGAAACACCACTTTTTACAAATTTACTCATAGGTTTAGATTTAGAGCACCGCTATCCAACAGAAACATAACGGGGACCACATATGTCATTTTCTACTTTGCAGTAGCCACACACACAAAAAAGCAAGGTTACCCTGACTGGTTTGGGTCAGTGGATAGAGTGTCAGCCTGCAGGCTCAAGGGTCCCAGGTTCGATTCCAGTCAAGGGCATGTACCTTGGTTGCGGGCACATCCCCGGTGGGGGGCATGCAGGAGGCAGCTGATCGATGTTTCTCTCTCATCAATGTTTCTAACTCTCTATCCCTCTCCCTTCCTCTCTGTAAAAAATCAATAAAATATATTTAAAAAAGCAAGGTGAAATTAATTACAATATATTTTGTTTGACTCAATGTATCAAATAATATTGTCAATGTATAATCACTAGCAATATTACTGATGAGATAGTTTACATCTTTTTGTAACTGTCTTCAAAATCTAATATCAAGTTTACTAATGAGATATTTTACATTGTTTTACTTGTACCAAATCTTCAAAATCTGGTACTTTTCCCTTACACTACTACTGTGGCTACTATATTGGACCTGCAGGTCTAGAGTATCCTAGTCCCTCTTCCCCAATTTTTTATTGTGGTGAAATACACATAACATAAAATTTATCATCTTAACCATTTTTAAGTGTACTGTTTGGTGGTATTAAATACATTCATATTGCTATGCAACCATCACCACCACAAATCTGGTTTTTTTTTTAAAGCCTATTAACTATTCCTTTAAAATGGTGTTTCTCAAATTTGACTGCACAATAGAATCACCTGGGAGTTTTACCAAATACTTATTTCTGGGCCCCACCACTGTAGATTCCGAATTAATTGGCTGTGGGTACATCTGGGCACTGGAAGCTTTAAAAGCTCCCTGGTGGTTCCAACATACAGCCTTGGCTGAAAATTACTGCTCTAAAAGGAACAGAGCCAAATAACTGAAAAGTGATCTGAAAGAAAATGGTGCAAGACACCACTATTCATAACTACAAAAAGTTTTCTAAAAAAGTTTTCTAAATTGAGCTGCTCAATTTTACTATGGTTTCTTAAAAGAAAAGAAAAAAAGATACCACCCCAATCTGCAGAGGTGAGTCATTAGCTCTGCCAGTGAGCAAGCAGCCCACCAGGGAGATCAGGGCTGAGAACTGACCTAGAGGAAATTGGAGGACCCTGCACGGGAAGGCTCCATATGGTGTTGTTTCTGAAAGCAAAAGGGAAAGTTTCCCAAAACATCGATTTACACAGCCCAAGCAAAACATGCCTCATTAAGCTCTTCTTTTAATTGCATACAGTAGATGTCTTAACCACCTGTGCAGTCTGTATTGCATGCATGTTTAAAAAAACTATTTTTTGGTTTGTTCATTGCCTGAGCTAGAACTTAGGGACTCTCAGAACCAAATATCTTATAAACCAGTTCAGGGGACACAGAGCAAGAATAAAAATCCTAGAACAAATAGATGTTATTAAGACCAAATAACTGGGCTTTCCAAGCAACATCTATAATAAAAATGTGTTCAATGTTTTAAAATAAATTAGGTCCCCAAAAGTCCTATAAGTGGGCCAGAATGATGCATTCTTGTGGCAATAATAAAGCTAGTAACTTATATTTGCTTACAAAATAACCTTGCTACTCAAGTCTGCCCCACTCTCCACTCCCTTATGTTGGGGGCTTCACACATCATGGGGTTACCCTTCCTAGGCCTTGTCAAGTGAGGGGCAATCCAAGCAGGATTTTTCTTCTTTCATTACTTTGTGTTTTTTCCCCCCAATAATATATACCATAATACATCCATTGTAGGAAATACAGCGAAGCATAAAGAAGAAAACATCAATTATTTCTAAAAGAAAATCACCCAAAGAAAACCACTGTTAATATTTTGATAAATTCCCCCCCTCAGATGTGTCTCATGTGGTTGAATATTGACTCATGAACCAAGAGATCACTGGTTTGATTCCTGGTCAGAGCACATGCCCAGGTTGCGGGCTCGATCCCCAGAAGGGGGCATGCAGGAGGCAGCCGATTGATGATGTTTTTCTCTCATCAATGTTTCTATCTCTCTATCCCTATCCCTTCCTCTCTCTCTAAAAATCAATAAAAACATATTTAAAAATATTTTGATAAATTTCTTTCCAATATTTCAAAAATGTATTTACTACATGTAATTAGAGACTTAAGATTCTACTCTAAAATCAAGTGTCTATCCTTCTTCTGTTTACTGAACTATATCACAAGCATTTCCTGTGTCATTAAAATGATTTCAAAACATTTTAATGCCAACCTAATATTTCCTTATTCTTGAGCATTTAAAGCATTTCTCATTAAAAAATAAATTTATGTAATGCTGATATAAATATCCCTGAATAGACATTTTTGTGCACATTTCTGGAAAGGAAATATAAATTGAAATTATGGGGTCTTGGGTACCCTATCCTATCCCCATCAGCAGCTTTTGTTAAGCTATCTGAGATTGCTAAATAGTTGTTTTCTTTAAATGCTTATCAATGTGATAAATGTTTAAGAGCTAGAAATCATAACTCCTTATACCTTTGATTATACCGAGTCCCTGGATGAACTGAATTTACACAGATCATAATGATTTATTTTCTTACCCTTGGAAGAATGTAGTAATACAAGTAGCCTGGGAAAAATAGTTTGGAACTTTAGGTAAAAGTAGCACAAAGTTGCTGAGTGACTCACTTATCTAGCTTCTCATTAGCTTGCCGCCAATGTGTCTGCTCCTTCTTCCATCTCAAATTTTCATTTAGGCATGAAAATCGGTCATTCCCTAGGAGTTAAGAAATGCATGATAGGAATGTGATTAGCACGAAACCCTCCAAGATAACCAGAAGTTCTGTAACAAGGTCAACTAGGAGGACTCAGCGCCGCTTCTCGGTTATAGTCCATGCTGAATGCTGGTAGGAGACAAAGGCCATGTTCATGTCTGGGCTGGCTTGCTCTTTGATTGACAAGCTGGAGCTATAGTAGAACCCCTGCCTTTCTGGAGTGTCCGTGAGCATGTTTCCAGGAACACAGGTGTCCAGTGGAACTCTAGGGGTTCTCGCTAAGTTATTGAAAGGACAGGATGGGTGTCAAATGAAGGTAACCAATCACACATGTAAATGCTGAGCTCCCTTCAAGTTCCTGACCACTGTGTCCCGTTGCATTGCTGCATCGGATGAGCTGTTGCTCTGTTGTACGTTGAGCTCAGTAGAGCAGACGGAGGCTACCGGAGCACTTCACTCTATTCTACAGCGATGAGCTCAGCCTCTCTGAGGCCATTCCTGGTATTGTGGGGTCTCTGGAGGACTAGGACACTCGGAGGCCCCTGAGAGGATTTGTTCCATTCTAACAGTGGCCTGAGTGACTTGGGGAGATGATCTTGAAACCAGAACTACCCTGTGTATTGACCACTCTCCGAGGAGACAAGTCAAACATCCCGTGGAGAGGCTTCAGCCTTGAGAGAGACACCATTTGTCTCATACGATGACTCATATTCTTGAAGGTGATCTTTTACCACAGACAAGTTTTAGGCTGAAGATGCCATTTGGGGACATTTCTGGGGTTCCTGTGATCGCAGGAAAGCAACGTTGCCTTGAGAGACACAGGGCTGACATGACACACATCAGGCACAGAATCCCAGAACCTGCTTGTCTTTACTATCATAATGTCTTACGAAAGTGATGGTGTCTACTCGTGTTGGGAGGGCATTCCTCCCATAAAGGGTGCAGAAGTCTCTGACAGAAAACAAGGAAGGGCGGATCCAACACACCTGGGACCCGGCGCCGCATCATCTCCCCTCTGGCCCCTTCCCCGCGGAGCAAAGCCTCTTCCAGCCTGGCCTTGACATCCCTCGACTTCTGCAGGACTTGGGTACTGACTTTGTCAGAACTCGGCTTTCCCTGGACAGGACAGAGGAAGAAGGACGTTTCGTCTGATGAGATCTCTGTCCACGGGGACACTCTTCACAACAGAACACTCCAAGGTGAGATCAACCAGTACGGACATGAGCTCTACAGAGACACTGTTCTGGGGGATCCCATGGCTGAAAACCTGTTAACAGGAATGGAGTTCTCTCTGCAGAAGGCAAGGACCCTTCCCCTGAGGAATTATCATATCCAGATAAGTGTTGCATATGCAAATAGGTTATGGATTTTAATACAGAAATAAGAAAAAATACCGATGCCTCCATTGCCCAAACAAAGGGGAACAGTGACAAGACAGGATGGACCTTGAGAGATGAGAACTAGTTTAAAACGGAGCCACCCCACACCTACCTTGTACTCAAAACACGAGACACAGATGAAAAGGAGATCTAAAATCCTGTTGAGCTGCATGGAGGGCAGGTCAGCAATCCACTTCCTAATGAGGCTCTGGTCTGCATTTTTCATGATCCAGAGGAAGCAGATCATGAGGTTTCGGGTTGTGTCGGCATTCAGCACGTTGTACTGCTTGTAGGGCTGGAAGCAGGCATATGGGGAGACAAATGCAGAGGAAGAAGATAAGCAGCAGAAACACTGAAAGTCTTACGGGACATTAATCTCTTAGAACACAATAACTGTACTTCTAACTTGGCTGGGGTCTGTCTCCAGGAACTCGGCCTTTCACCGCCAGGTTCATTGGCCAACAGGCTCACCTGGGGCTGTATCTGAGCCAGGCTTTTAGCCACATAACTTTGGGCACTCTCTGTCTCAGGAGCATTGTGGTCTGGTGGTCTGCCCTGGACCTTGACCACCCCTCCCCCAATCTCAGTGATAACAAGGGACTCCCATGCTAAGATAGCCAAGTATTTCTCCTTCAATCTGGACACTAGACAACTTAAAGCAGTCTTATAGCAGAGAACTAAAGCATGATATGCTCAACCAATTAATCAAATCCATAATTTAGTGGAGTCCTCTGCAATGTGACTTTAACACAATGTATGTTTTTCTGGGTGTATGGGTGTGGGAACTCAGGCTACTTGCTTGAGTATACGGGCCATAAGGGTTCATTTTAGAGTGCTGAGCATACTTTCTGTCACTCATCAGGTCAACAGAGAGAACAATATGTGGCTGCACCCTTGGTTCATGTGATGCAGCTAATATCCAATGGACTGTCGTGGTGAATCTGCAATGAGCTATTTGTAAGTATGGGAGGGAAATGTTGATTTTGGATGGGAATGATAGGGTTTATGAAGTTACTTTAACTTTAGTTTTTCTGAGTACAGTGAAAAGAAGACATGAAGTCTTTAGATATAACCTCACAGGGAATATCTTCTAATAGATGAGCTTTGGGCATTTGAACTTTTGCCCTTAGATCAAATAACAATGAAAAGGCATACACCACCTCAAGCATCTCACTTTGCTAAGATGGCTATTAGAAAGGTGGAGGAGGTCATAAAACAATATTTATCAAACTGTAGGGTGAGTAATGTCAACTCTCAAATGTCTATTCTCTTTCTTATCTCCCTGTCCTCCAAACCTCATGGAGGTTTACTGGAGATTGGGGTGGGGGTGGGGAGGGGAAATGTGAGATTAAAAATGCTGGAGGGATGAGAAGAAAGTCATCTAGCATGGATGAGTTAGGTCTCAATACTGCCTTTCCAGGAGAGAACCTAGTTGAGTCCTTTACAGATACACTCTACTCTGAAATGCTCAGTTCCATTAGCAGGATGATAGTCGACTTGACATAGGGGCATTCAGAGCTCATCAAGAAACAGAGAGAGATCACACCTCCATGAGTCAGAGGTTTTACGACTTGACATAGGGGCATTCAGAGCTCATCAAGAGAGAAATCACACCTCCATGAGTCAGAGGTTTTATTCCAGGGAGAGCCCCTCTTTAAACCCAAGTTTGTGCATAGGGACTGAGCCAGATAACTCTGCTTAGGCTCTCCGGGGACCTAGCAAAGCTGAAGTCTTTTGCTTAATAAGCAATCTATCAAGCGACCTTCAATCTTTTTTCGGAGGCGGACACAGTATGAATAATAAATATACAGAATAAACATAGCTCAAGCCTCCCACTGAGAGAGCCTTGGTTTGATCCTCTGCAATAATCTCATGTTTCCCAAGTTTCACGTCTTTCCTGGTTTTCTGAGCCTTGAACTTGGCACCATTGAGACGGTCTGAACTGGACTTGTGATTCTCTTGCTGTTGCCAGCACCCCATCTGACTGTGTGTAGCCTCATCTGCACCATTTCCCTCCACAGCTGCCAGCCTCACAGTGACTCGTTCCAGCATCGAGCAAAGAGGCAGAAATCTCACTGCCTACTCTAGGGAGGGTTCTGGTAGGTGAATATAAGAATGAACCCATCAGGAGATGGGAAAAGACTCAAAATGAAAAACAAAGTAGAGAAATGTGCAACATACCAAGGAAGACAGCATGGGTCCATTTGTCTTCAAATTAAAGTGATTCCCAGCTATGGCCAGGGCCACATTCTGGTTAATTCCACTGGTCCCATCTTGTTCTTCATCCGAACCACTGGTGCGGTTTTTTCCACTACGGGCATCTGCAGCTGCAAGTCAAACATTATTGGTCTTATCAATGCAATCGTGCTCCTGGGTATTTACCCAAAGGAGTTGAAAACATGTCCACATCAAAACCTGCATGTAGGTGTTTTAGCAGCTTCATGAATAATTACCCAAACCTGAAAGCAGCCAAGATGTCCTTCAGTAGGTGAATGGATGAAAAAACTGGTACATCCATACAATGGAAAATTATTCAGTGCTAAAAAGAAATGAGCTAGAAAGCCATGAAAATATATGAAGGAACCTTAAATGCATATTGTTAAGGGAATGAAGTTGATTTATAAAGGCTACATACTATATGATTCTAACTATATGACATTGTGAAAAAGACAAAACTATAGAGACAGTAAAAAGTCCAATGGTGGTCAGGGATCGGGGCAGGGAGGGATGAATAGGCAGAGTAGAGAGGAGTTTTAGGGCAGAGAAACTACTTAACGATTTATAAAGGCTACATACTATATGATTCTAATTATATGACATTGTGAAAAAGGCAAAACTATAGAAACAGTAAAAAGTTCAATGGTGGTCAGGGATTGGGGGAAGGGAGGGATGAATAGGCAGAGTACAGAGGAGTTTTAGGGCAGAGAAACTACTTATAATACTACAGTGATGAATACATATTACACATTTATCCAAACCCTTAGAATGTGCAACACCAAGAGGGAACCCCAATGTGAACTATGAACTTTAGGTGATAATGATGTGTTGATGTAGTTCACCAATTGTAAGATGTGTACCATTCTAGTGGGGGATGCTGCTAATGGGGAGGCTAGGTATGTGTGTAAGAAATCAACCAAAGGACTTATATGCATGCATATGAGCATAAGCAATGGATACAGACAGTAGGGGGGTGAGGGCATGTGCCGGGGGGGTGAGAGCGGCCAGGGAGAGATCAATGAGAGAAAAAGGAGACTCGTGTAATACTTTAAACAATAAAGAATTTAAATTTTAAAAAAGAAACCCAAAACACTAATTAAGAAAATATCTTTGGTAATATCAAATCAAAGATGGTGATTTCTTATGTCCTAAACCCAGTATCCAATGTGTACCTGATCCTTATCAGTCATTAAAGCAGGGGTGGGCAAACTTTTTGACTCAAGGGCCACAATGGGTTCTTAAACTGGACCAGAGGGCCGGAACAAAAGCATGGATGGAGTGTTTGTGTGAACTAATATAAATTCAAAGTAAACATCATTACATAAAAGGGTATGGTCTTTTTTTTTTTTTTTTAGTTTTATTCATTTCAAACAGGCCAGATCTGGCCTGCGGGCTGTAGTTTGCCCACGGCTGCACTAAAGTCATCACAGTAATTTTAAACCTGATGTTTACATTATTTATCTGCTACTGTCTATAGGGGAAATGGGGGGAGGCTTATAATAAAAAAGACAGAACGTCCAGTTCAAGATTATGCTAGAAATTATTTTTCTAGTTGTTAAAATAAAAATTTTCAGAACTTTCATAACACTTTTCTATAACATTTAAAAATCTATTCATATATTTTAAATAATAACTAAATAGAAAGGAGCCTATAATTACAGAATTAATTAATACCTTATAGAATAACAAGCTATTATCACAAATTCAGTAATACTTTATTTTTAAATGGTTTGAAATGAATGTTAATTTATTGTATCTATGTAATATAGACATATCTATATGTATACATAGGTCTAGATATAGGCAAGTAAAAAAAGGTTGGTTTTTAAAAACACTACCAATCACACATAAAGTATTTAGAAAATTCTTAGAAAAATGTATTAAAACACTTGCACCTGATTGATCCATTACAAACTCATTTTATTAGACTAGTCAACATTATCAGTATTGTACCTTCAATTTTTTTTAAAGTACAGTGAGAAGAGTATTTTCATCTGCTAACATTTTGAAAAAAGGATGCAGTTTAAGAACTCAATTTTTAAAAATAATAATTCACTATTGTATTTTAAGGCAATTGGGTCTTTAAACAAATGGTAAAATGAATAGCACATGGAAATGATACAAGATCTGGTAATATAGGGATATTTGAGGATACATTCTTTCTCCCTCTAAATATGCACAGGGTCATAGTTATAAGACAAGGAAGGAAGGATCTAAATATTTGCTATACAACATGTTCTCTCACTTCATCTATGATGTGGGCACCATTATAGTTTTTACATCTGAGAAAAGGTTGAGGATCTCATCAAAGATCACATATAGTAATAAATAGGCTGCAGTTTGAATTCAGTTGTATCTCTTTCTAAAGACTATATTCTTATTAGTTTATCAATTTAAAGATTACATATACAATAGATACTATACCATATTAATAATAGAATACTTTTTATTGTTTTCCCACTTGTCAACTCATTATGACCATAAAGTTCAATGCATATGTAAAGAAATAGTCAAGACTTAAAAGGCTCAAAAGCGAATTGCTAAAAAGTTTTGATCCCAAATAACTAATTTGGAAAATTCTAATCAATAAGGAATTTCTGGAGAATGTGTGATAAAGTGGTTTCCTGCTCTGGAAACAAACCAATCATGGGTCTTCAAATGAAACTTTCTAGAAACTTTCACACAAAATTCTAGAAATGGTCTGCAAGACACCTGCCCTGCTCTGAGCCACATCTTCAGATTTTGAAGATGACTCTGTTCTCTATTTGCCCTCCAGTCAGGCACACCCAGAGGAAGCTCTACGTCCTCCTGACGCCCACTCACCCTATGTGCCAAGCTTGCTTCTGTAATTTCCTTGCCCGTTATTTTTTTGCTCATTTTCTGAGCTAAATAATTATCACCATAATGATCTTAGAAATAATTAAATCACACACGACACTTTGCATTTAGAGGAAGCAAGAACTTCGGTGGTTCTAAGATTCCAAGGATGATTGACCACAAGAATGCTGGGCTGATGTAAGTATTCCTCAGACCCCAGGATCCTTCATCAGTCAAGAGAGCAGCATGGTCATTTCTAAGAACTTCCCTTGAGTTTGGGGAAAAGCAAGCACCACTCTGAAGTGATCAGAAATGTGTGTGTGTGTGTGTGTGTGTGTGTTGTGGGGAGGGTAGGCAATGGATTGCTTTTCTCAGGGATAGGGTAGTTTTGTTCACCTACATTCCGAATCCACACTGTTAATATGCTCCAACCCCTTTGAGATAATTTATCCTTTCCCCCTTCCTATATGAGAGATACTGACTTCTGACCTCAGAATCAACTTCTTAGTGCCAAAGGCAAAATTCCTCCCCCATGGCAGACTTTCCTAATCCTGAAAGACACCAGGATATTTTTTTACATGTAGCAATTGTTTAGGTTCATTTGAGGCTGTTTCTTTGCTCAGAAGGTAAGGAACACCTTTATTTCAAGGCATTAAAGCAGGAACCTCCAAAGTTGGGTGATCTTGTTATTATCTCGTCCTTTGTGGTGTATGGTCTATAAAGGTTATTATACACCATCAGACCAATGAATGAATGAATGAACAAATAAATAATCTTTAAATAAAAACATAGACAGGGTTATGTACCTTAAGAAAATAAAACTTATTGGGGCCTTAAAAAGATCTGGGGAGCACCGTGTGGAGACCTGTTCCCTTAAGCATATCCGCCCTGGAGCCAATGACAGAAACCTCATTCTAGTGGAGCAATGGGCAGGGTCCCTGTCAATCCAGAGGAGGAAACAGAAGGAATTGTTACCTGTAAAGTCATAGAGCTGTGGCAAAGCATCCAAGATGATGCCAACCAAAGGCAAGTAAAGGGCAGCGACTTTGACCTTCACTTCTGGTTTGACACAGCGCGGGTCAAGGTCGTGAGAACTTAACAGGCTGTGAATGGCGCTGACAGCTTTCCTTTGCACTTTGCTGATCCTGTTGGCACAACATAGAAGGCTAGAGGTTATGATGAAGGGAGATGGACCGAAATGCTCTTAAACAATAAGGAGTGACCAGCATGTTCCTAAACAATGGGGTGACAGTGTGAAAATCAAGAAAAATTGGGTAGAAGTATTTATGGCTCAGACACAGACTACCTGTGTTCTAGTCCTGGGTCACTGTTAGCATGATATTTTAAAATTCATCATGGTGTAGCATCAAGTCTTTCATTCCTTTTTATTGTTGGATAATACTGTATGAATATATCACACTTTATTTTACTTATTTTAAAATGTATTTTTATTGATTTCAGAGAGGAAGGGAGAAGGAGAGAGAGATAAAAACACCAATGATGAGAGAGAATTATTGATTGGCTGCCTCTTGCATGGCCCACACTGGGGATCGAGCCCACAACTTGGGCATGTGCCCTGACCAAAAATTGACCTATGACCTACTGGTTCATAGATCGATGCTTACCTACTGAGCCACGATGGCCGGGATGAATATATTACATTTTATTCATCCAGTCATCAACTGGTGGACATTTGGGCTCTTTCCACTTTTTGACTATTATGAATTGTGAATGCTGCTATGAATATTTCTGTTTATGTTTTTGTGTGGATATAAGTTTTACTTCTCTTGAGTACATACCACAGAGTAGAATTACTGGGTCATATGGTAACTCTATGTTTAACGTTTAGGGGAACTGCCAAACTGTTTTCATCAGTGGCTACACCACTTTACATTCCTAGCAGGAGAGCATGAAGTTTCCATATTCCATTTGCCAACACTTGCTATTATCAGTCTTTTTTATTATAGCCATCCTAGTGGGTATGAAGGTGCTAGGGACTGAATGTTGAACTGCAAACAGTAGCAGGTAGCGTTTTTGTGTGTGCTTCGTATCCCATTATTAATGTCAGAAGCATACCCTTCCCCTTCGGCATCCAGCGCAGCAGCCAGTTCCGTGAAGAGAAGGCCGGTGAGGAAGTGCTGCTGGCGGAACTCAGGAGTCAGGTCGAACATGTTGGCGATCTTCTGGTCCTGGAAACTGGAGCAGGAGCTCGAGTTCTACAGAAATGCAAGGAGCAGCTGTATGAGTAATGAGAACTGGGACTAAGACCACAAGAGCTGGTATTGATTGAGCATGAGTACGGCCAAGCTTGGTAAGCACGACCCAGTGAGCCAGGATCATCACTACTCTCCCTATGGGACAGATGAGGAAACCGAGACTAGAGTGGTCACTTAGCTTTCCCATCCCCACAGGTGGAAAACTGCCCACTGGGAAAGATGAAAATAAAGCACTCAGGTTCTGTCACACGACGCGGAACACTCCCTTCCTCACAAGCAATCAAAAGTTGAAGATGAAAATCCCAGGACAACACTTGGACAGGGAAATGGGAACGGGATCCAACGCTGCAGCTGTGAGCAGGCAATTCCTCTCTAACAAACTGCCCCCTTTATAGTGAGTGAACAGGGCTCGTACACTGAGCTGCACTTCTAAACATGGTTTACACACAGTGTCTGAATGGTGCTGACCTGGAAACTAAAAGCGGTGTCAAGGCAGGGAGGTGTCAGATGGACCAGTCCCAGGTAATTGCTGTGCTCTTATCCTGCGGCACACTTTACATTTCACTAAGAGAATCTAAAATGTCTCTGGAATCCTTGATGTTCTGTGGGGCTGGGCCTGGCCCCTGGGTTTGCTCACTCCCTGGGGTAGTCACAGGGAATGTGGGCAAGGACCTAGGGCAATGTGAGCACATGTGGAATTGCAGCTTGTAAGACGCCGTTCCCAGTTCTCACTCAGATGGTCGCATAGCCAATATCTAGATCATGTCTTTGGGCATGAATGGCCAAGATTATTACTTTTTAACTAATAAGACAGACGTTCACCTTTGTGCTAGTATCAAGAAATATGCAACAAAAATAGAACCTAATATTGAGAAATCTTACCTGCTTCTCTGAGCTACTGATTTTTTCCCTATAAATGAAATGTGACTATAAAAATAGCATTTCCTTAACGTTTTTCTAAAGGACACTAGCCCCTTGAGAAATCTATGGAGGAAAAACAAAAAGTTTCTGGAGTCAGATCATTTTGGGAATCACTGCTCATCATACACCTCCTTTAATTGCCTCCGTCCCTGGGGCATTTACAATTTACACCAACTCAGAGACTCTTACTTGGCCTTCTGCAAAGAAACCTGCTAACACAGGGGTTCCAAACGGATTAGACTTTGGAATCTTGTATTTGCATAATACCTCTCAACATCCTATAGAATCCGGGGCCCACTGAGCCTAAATTGAAAAATACTGTTCTACAAAAAATGATTGGTGGAACTCCCGTGTATAAATATTAATACAAGTGTTCCTCTTTCTGACTGATCATGAACAAAACTTGTTAGAAATATATTCCCTATACAACAGGCCATTTGCTTAGTTTATGGTGCAATCTTTTCAGTGTTTCATGAGCCAAATGATCTGGAATGTGATTCAAGGTGGACTCATCTTGTGCTGAATTCCATTTTATAATAGCACCAGCAAAAAGTTCTGAGAGAGATCAAGGATATAAAATCCACATTAAAAACCACTATTATAGGCAGCTGATTGATGATTCTCTCTCATCATTGATGTTTCTCTCTCTCTCTCTCTCTCTCTCTCCCTCTCCCTTCCTCTCTGAAATCAATAAAAATATATTTTAAAAAAAACACTATTAGGTCATTTTGGAATCAATAAAAAGTAACCTGAAACTTCATAAATTTCATGGTGCTGGGATTTCAGAAAAGTGAAGTGAGTAGAGGAGACTGTCAAGCTGAAGTAGAAAGATGATTAATGTGAGACAAAAGAAGACGTGACTTTTCTACAAATTTCTGATTTTTCATAGTATATATGGATTTCTTGTTCTAGACTCTAGAGCCTAGAGAGAAATCAACCACTTAGTATGTAAATGATTAGTTAGATGGTACAACTTTGGGAAGTATATTTATATGTATCTGAATCAATTTATCTGTTTCCATAGCTGGATTTTTCTTTTTTAAAATATATTTTTATTGATTTCAGAGAGGAAGGGAGAAGAGAGAGATAGAAATATCAATAATGAGAGAGAATCATTGATCAGCTGCCTCCCACATACCCCCTACTGGGGATCCAGCTCAAAACTCAGGTCTATGCCCTGACCAGGAATTGAACTGTGACCTCCTGGTTCAACTACTGAGCCACACCGACCTGGCTTGGTTCTTTAAAAATTAGTAACGCCAACCTTTAGAGAACAAATTACTAAATTAAGCTAATTAGGTGAAATCGTGTGTATAACTCTTTCAGGTAATGGGTTACCTGGGAAGATATGGAGGGGCAGGGAGATGCCGGAGCAGTGTCCGCGCTCATAAAGAAGAGGTTCAGGTTGAGGTAATGTTCATGGCTGCAGAGGATTCTCAGGAACTCTAGCCTCAGGGAGATGAGCGTCGCGAGGTTGTTCAGCTTGGCTGACAGCTTGGGAGGACAATGAGGACAGGAAAGAAGCATTTATTATCAGGTGAATGGAGTTGAGGTTGACAGACACAAAAATATCCTTTCACCCCAGATTAATAAAAATGAATGGGGCAGTACCACAGATGGCAAATTCTGTATTACAGGGACGCCCAAAAGGTTTTCATCCACTACCTGTGTCCTCTCATGATTCCTAGCCTAAAAACTGACCAAAATGAGGACTCTTGCCCCAAACCCCAGTCTTGTCAAATCTGTAATACCAAGGCAAGCCTCTGTTCATAACCTGGAAGTATGTCTTCAGTGTAACAGAATATAATTAATTCTACAAAAACCCTACTGTGTCCAAGAAACTAAATGAAAGGAGTTGCCCCCACATGGGGCCACACAAAACTAATAGAATATGACTGGGTGGCTTTAATGCCACAAGTGTTCTTTTGTAGTTTCTAATTAAAGACCCCAACAGGAAGTTCTCAAGCCAGTTCCCTGGATGAGAGCATCAAATTACTTGGGAAAAAAAAATCCAAAGAGTTTGCTTCAAAGAGGGAGAAGAGAAAGAAACAGAAAACTGGAAGAGTTTTCAGGAAAAAAAAAAATCTTCCCTTGAACAAACCAACCATGAAATTAGCAACGAAAAGCTGACACAGGTGACAGTCTGGAAGAGATCTCGTGCTTCTCTTGGGGAAAGTGACAACTGAAGGATCCAGACTCAATAGGCTGCCAATGAGAGGTAGCTTCTCTTAAGGCAAAGCACAGAAAGAAGGGTTTTGATGGATCTTGAACCTCTCAATATATTATCATAAACACCTCTCGCCTTGGCACAGGAAACCAACGGCTCATCCTTGCCAACGGACATGCCTCCTCCTCATGCACTTGAATTAATTATCCTAATATGTGAAAAGAGACCTCATATTTTGAATTCTATGCCTGGTCAAAGATCGAATGCTACAGTCATGCAATTTCTGTTAAATGTAAATTGAAGAAAGCTGACCATATCAGTAACTAATTTCAGTTTCCTTAGATTAACCCTTCTGTATTGGGTTGGTAAATGCTTTAGGAATCCATGCAAACCAGTGTGTCTAGGGATGTCTATGGCATAAGACTCAGAATGTACAAGAGCCAAGCTGTCTAACTTGGCAGTGGATAAGATAGCTCACCATGACAACGAGCATCACACAGACCAGAAGGAACCAGGGGCAACACGGCTGTGTCCGAGGGAACACTCACCTGGTTGCAATAGTGTTTGATGAGGTTAAACACAAAGCTACGATCCATAAGTGAGAGAAGGTCATACAAGAAGAAAGCCAGGCTGATGTTGATCTTCTCTGCCTGTTCGGTTTCCTTAAAAACAAATATATAAACACTCAAGTCACTTTGTGGTAAACCCTGGTCATGAACCGCCTGGTCCCTGGTGGGAAAGCTGGGAGAGGCAGGTCCTATTTTTATAATCAGTGTTCCTTCCTCTAGGAGACACTGGGCTAAGCAGGTAACCCTGCACAATTAGAGCAAATATAGTTTAAAACTTAACTGATGCCATGAGGTTGAATCAAGTAATTCTTTATCTACTGCTAATATTAACGTGCATTTCCTTCTAATTTTTCCCCCTACATGTATATTTATATGTATATAAGTGAGCTCATTCTCTATATACAATGCTGGGTCCTGAATTTTTTCATTCAACATCCTATATAATAAAAGTGTAATATGCAAATTGACCAAACAGAGGAACAACCAGTTGCTATGATGCACACTGACCACCAGGGGATAGATGCTCAATGCAGGAGCTGCCCCCTGCTGGTCAGTGCGCTCCCACAGGGGGAGCGCTGCTCAGCCAGAAGCTGGGCTCAAGGCTGGCGAGCGCAGTAGCGGTGGTAGGAGCCTCTCCTGCCTCCACTGCAGGCGGGTGGTAAGGAGCAAGGGGTCCCAGACTGCGAGAGGGCTGTCTGACTGCCTCCTAGGGATTGGGCCTAAGCCAGCAGGCAGACATCCCCCGAGGGGTTCTGGACTATGAGAAGGCACAGGCCGGGCTGAGGGACCCACCTTGCCCCCTTCCCTCCCCCTTCCAGTGCACAAATCTTGTGCACTGGGCCTCTAGTTACATAATAAACATTTTCCTACATCCTAGTCTCTCATATTTCTTCAGATGGCTTTATCATAATTTATTTGATTCTGGTACTGTTTTGGCAAAAGTAACTTGAAATGTATTCACTATCTTCAATGAGACAGATTCTTATAAGTATTGTTGCAGAAAATCAAATCAGGATAAAAGAATCCATTTTTACCTAAGGATTTTTTTCTCTCCAATTAGGCAGCAGGCCCAGCCTAAAAGAATTCATAGTCACTCATGGTAGGGTGAATTATTGCATAAAGTGAGACCAGGATTTTTTATTACTTCACAGGGCTCATATGCATGAGGGGTTTTACAGGACTTCAGAGCAATCGAGATACACTTGTGCATGGTCATGCCTTCTAGTCCCGGAATGATGAATTCCAGTGTTCTCTGACACTATTGAAAATATGTATTGAAAATATTTTCCTCTTGTTATGTTATGTTCCTCTTGTTATTCAGGCCAAGCTGACTAGCCACTGGCATGGATGTAGACCTGATAAAGAAGTTTCCACAATCTCATGGAGCACCAAGTCCTCACACTCTCAGCATCCTCACGGGCCATCCCTGGGTAGTATACATAATTGCCTGGATATTCTGGCATGGAATTGTCAGTCCTGGTTTTGCTGCTAGCTGTGTGACTTTAAAAAATCTCAACATCACGGTGCCTCATTTTTCATGCCTGCCAAAATGGAGATATCATTGCCATTCTCAGAAAGTTTGCCATGAGAAAAAGTGGTTATTTCTCCTGAGCACTTGGTGCTATACATGTTCTTTATAATGATAAAGGTAATAATAATGATCACTGCTGCTTCAAATTTTATAGTTGCCTTTAAAATTTTTGTTTCATTTCATTTTATATATTTAACTTTCTATTTTAAAGTAATTTTAAGCTTACTGAAAAGGTGCAAACATAGTACAAAAACTCCTGTATACCCTTCAACTAGGTTCATAAATATTTGACATTTTGCTACATTAATCATTCTCTTTATACAATTCTTTTTCTGAACCATTAAAAAAGGAGGTCACAAATATCATGCCCATCTACCCCACAATATTTCAGGGTATATTTCCTAAGGACAAGAATATTCTCTCTCATTTCTACATTGATATAATAATTCAAACTATTGTAATTAGATGTTGCAATTTCTTTAGAGCAAACCTCCTGTCCCACTCTAAGCTCCCATTCAGTTTAAAAAAACAGCATTTGCGTATCAGGTATAGTTAGTTACATTCAAATTATTGCTTTAAGATGATGCTTGTTTTTCTCTGATTATGAAAATAACATGTTCAAGGTAAAAAATTTAGAACATAAAGAGTCACACGACACAGTTACCTTCTGAGGCTTTACTAAAAGGGCTGCAATCTCCGAGGTGACCACATTAACAATGGTAGTTATGTCATCTTTGAAACGGTCGGAAAAACGAGTCCTCCGAAAATTGTCCTGTTTGTCCATGTTGTGTACATACTGGGCCATGCTTTTCACCTATAGAGGGATGGGGGAAATGTCAACATGGAAATTGGTGACCTGCTTGTACACTGTGGAAAAGGGGAAAAGGCTGGAAGAAAAGCTCACTAACAATAGACCTTCTAACACTTTATCTGTGCTGGTAGCTGCCCAAGCAGGCTGGGGACTAAAAATGCTCCTGACACACAGATGGTTACCATGGTGGCAGGAGGTGGGAGGGTGTCCTCTTTTTGACCCCAAGTCAGGGGGCTTCCTCCTTGCTGCTGACAAAGCCAGGGAGCTTAATTTTTAGCCACCGTGTCATGAGACTCCCCTTCACTCAACTGCCTATGTCTGGGAAGGCAGACCCGTGAGGCTCTCAGAGCCACTTAGCCACCAGTCTGCCATGGCACACAGCACACCACCGGAAGGGGGGCTGTTTATGAAACTGCTTGTGATGTGAACTGAAGCCCCGGCTATCCCTGAAACTACAGTAAGGAGAAATGGAAAGAAATGTTCCTCCTATTGGGATCTCAAGTTGAAATGAAGAGCACAGTTTTCCCCAGAAGCAGTACTATAGCATGCTAGCTAGAATCTTGACCACTACTTTAAACATTGCTTCTAAGAGAAATTATGTTTTGAGTTCTATAAGACTGATCTGTTTTTATCTATATTTTAAATATTTAAATATATACTTAATTAAATATATATATACATATATGTATATATTCTATATAAAAGGCTAATATGCAAACTGACTGAATGGTGGAATGACCAGTCGCACACTGACCACCAGGGGGCAGATGCTCTCCCACAGGAGGAGCACCACTCAGCCAGAAGCTGGGCTCACAGCTGGTGAGCACAGTGGCGGTAGCAGGAGCCTCTCTCGCTTCTGCGGCAGCACTAAGGACCCCTTTGGGGATGTCTGACTGCTGGCTTAGGCCTGGGGGAGCGGGCCAAAGCTGGCAGTCAGGCATCCCCCAAGGGGTCCCAGACTGCAAGAGGGTGCAGGCTGGGCTGAGGCACTCCCCCACCCCCAGTGTACCAATGTCATGCACCACGCCTCTAGTATAAAAATAAAAACCTTTGTGTCAATTGGTGATTGTATTGTACCTATCCACCACCAGCTCAATGCCTACCACAATTTTAAATCTAGATCATCCTTATCTGGGGGACTTCTTCTTAGGGCCAGGAGATTTGTGGGTCCATACACCTCCCTTTGATACAGTCTGAGGTTGCACTTTGTCCTTGTTGGAAGTTGCTTGGAGCAATTAGGAACAGGCTGATGGGGAAAGACTGGGAGTTCTGGTGGTTGGGTGTTTATCCTCTGAGGTCATTTTCATGAATGTGTCCAGGCTAGTCAGAGAATTGTGGCAAAAATAAATGGCCCTGGAAGTTAGATTGCCCACATTTGCCTGAAGATGACTGCATAGGTCAGGGCTGGAAGAAGAGGAAAGACAGTTGTATGGGGAAAATGACCCCTCCCCCTAAGAGCTATATGGGAGAACTGCTTTGCACTAAGGGCAATTTTCAGCGTCTAAGAATGCAGGATTGGCAACTTTCATCAGCACTGAGACAAACAGATAAAACAATAAGGAGAAGGTGAATTAAGAAGAGAAAAACAGCAGACAGGCTTTCCGTGTTTTCATGTTTTACGATAATGCAATGGCCCTAGCCTGTTTGGCTCAGTGGGTTGAGCATTGGCCTGCAGACTGAAGGGCTCTGGGTTTGATTCCAGTCAAGGGCACGTACCTTGGTTGCAGGCTCGATCCCCGGCCCCAGTTGGGGCTTGTGCAGAAGGCAACCAATCAATGTGTCTCTCTCATATCAATGTTTCTCTCTTTCTGTCTCTCCTGCTCCCTTCCACTCTCTCTCTAAAAAAATAAAAAAAATAAAATCACCCTAACCAGTTTGGCTCAATGGATAGAGCGTCGACCTGCGGACTGAAGGGTCCCAGGTTCAATTCCAGTCAAGGGCATGTACCTTGGTTGCGGACACATACTCAGTAGCAGGTGTGCAGGAGGCAGCTGATCGATGTTTCTCTCTCATCGATGTTTCTAACTCTATATTCATTTCCCTTCCTTTCTGTAAGAAATCCAATAAAAAAATATATATTTTAAAAAAAATCAATGGAAAAAATCCTCAGTTGAGGATGTACAAAAAAAAAAAAAAAGATAATGCCACGGCCAGCTTGGGGAAGACCTAAGAACACAGAATCCCAAAGCCCATTGTAAGAACCATAGTTTTCTCCACTGTCAAGTCCTTTGTGGTTCAGGACCCACGGACATGTCTGCACCCCACAGAGTCTCACACTCCTGTGAGAGGACCTGGAGGTGGGGTGGGAACTGGACCCCATTTTTGTCTGGCAGAGTGTCTCTCACTGTGCTAACCAAGGACCTGGGAACACAAGGCCTCTTTGTTCTGGGCTACCCTAGTCCTGATTCTCTGCTGGCTCCCTACCCCGCACCCGGCTTTTGGAGCTCACTGCGGTGTTCGGCTCCTGCCTGCTGCGTCTGGCCATCCTACAACCAAATAATTCTCACAATACCACACTTCCAGCTGATGGCCTCTTTCCAGGCGGTCAGCAACTTGCCAGCTACTGTGTCCTCTGTATGGCTAGAGAGGAGCACCCCGTAGAAATATTAGTGGGTGCTTGGCCCATTATTTGTGGGTGGGGTAAGGCAGGAAAATATTTTTCCTCATACTGGCCTTTGTGACCCATTCAGAGCAAGTGTACCTCTAAAGAACACCTTGGTGCAGAGTTCCTGTCCTGAGCAAACTAGGTCACCCATTTACCTCTGGGTCCCCAAAGTCTGGCCCAGCGGCTTACAGAAGCCCGGGGATTTATTCATTAGCAAGTGTGCAATTCACAGAAGGAGGGTGCTCGGCAGCTCCCATGCCAAAGCGGTTGTTCATTACTGCTTGGGCATTAACACAACTGAAAGGTGTTAAATCTCCCAGGTTGTTGGCTAAGTCCAAGGAGGCTGCGCTTTCTTTCTCATCAAGCTTCTTGGGCAAAAAAAACTGTCTTGGCTTTGAAACAGCTTCCTGGGCATCTGAAAAGCAAATGCACAAACAACGCACGGAGGACTGGGCACCCTGTCTGAGCCTGAGGCCAGTTTCCTTGCCAAGTTCTGGCTGGGGCTGATCGTTTCCATTTGCTTCCACCCAGCCCTTCCTGAGGTCCATCCCTCCCCGCTTTCTGTCTATCTCCGAACCTTGGGAAGCTGATCTCTGTGGACTACACCTCTCCTTGGCTTCTAGTTGGAAGTGGCCAAGGGAGGCACCAGCAAGGGATCAGGGGGCGGGAGAATGGAGAGGTCCTCGTATTTATCCTCTCCATGCCCTCATTCCTGCCGCAGCAGCATGGGTCTGGCAGTGGCAACATTTCCCTAAGACTCCAGCTGCTGTCTGGGGACCTTCTCCTCTGCCTTAGCGTTCTCTAGGCCGTTATAGTGCTCCCCACCCTGGCTTCTTTAGAGCTAGAATAACAACCTCCAGCACTTGCAGCTCCCTGGGTGCCTCACCAACCCTTATCTGCTTCTGTAACTTGTGTACACCCTGGGCAGAGTCCCTCCGATAAATGCTTTTCAGTTGACCCCTTTGAGTAATGCCAACGCTGCCCTGCTAGGACCTTGACAGACTTAGGTTAGAACATGTAGAGCCCCGGGTAACCGTGTCTTGGGTGACCTGCATGTCGACCAACCTCCTCCATGTGCTGGGATCACCAAGAGCTTTCTTTCCAGCATCTGTTTAGCAGAAGGGATAGTCCTCCTCCCCTCCTTCCAGGCGCTTTAGCTTTTGCTTTCTCTCCTGGGCCCACCAAGTCCCAGTAAATAAGTGTGCAAGATCAAAAGCAACTTGTACCTTTTCCATGGTTCTTAGCTCCCTGCAGTGAGGGACAGCAAAGCGGGACTGAGGAAGCCTTGGTGGGCCTGGAGACTCCTCCTTGTTATGGCCACCCTTCCCCGGACCCCATAGAAAACTCCTGTCTCAAGGCTGTTTGAGGATTAAATGAGATAGGGCTTAAAACTGTGCCCGGCACAAACATAGTAAGATGTACAACCCATTTTTAATGCTATTATTTTTCCTTTCTCAGGGGTGCCAGCCATTAGTAGAATTACATGAAAGACAGAGCCACTGTTATACATGCAGAGAAGCCAACATGCCTGCAAAGAGAGCTCCAGGATGCCATGTGGAGCCACTCAGGAGATGAGTCAGTTAGAGATGGAGGCAAATAGAATTACAAGGGCTTTGGGGGCCATGACAAAGATGTGTGCTTTATTTCTGATACTCCGAAAATCATTGAAGGTTTTTAAAGAGGAGAATGATGTTATCTGTTTAATATTGGGGGCCCTGTGCAGAATGGATGGGCTCAGGCAAAAATGAATGCAGGCAGCCGAAGTTACTGCAAGAGGCACCAGAGAGATGATGGTGGCTTGGCCTGGTGGTGGGTGGTGAAGATGGTGAGAACCAAGGTGTTGGAGGTAGATTTTCACAACAGAAAAAAAACAAGATTTGGTGGAGGTTCGG